CAAACGAAGCCCTAATCGTGAATCTTTGTCGCCTTTTGGACTCTCGTCTTCACCGAAAGAAGCCGTCTCTGCGATCTCCCAGCGAATATGGTGACTCTCTCGCTGATCATTCTCTCCTTTTTCGACACCGATTATGATTTTGGTGTTTTTTTTTGGTGACGTTTGTGAATTTCGACGGTTCTGATTACGAAATTTGACTCTGGGTCGAAACTGGACTTTACATAGATTGCTTTCCGGTGAATCTGAGATTGCAATTCATAGAAAGCTCTTTCCTTTTTTTGGTTTCAGGTGACTGTTTGTGAGACTTGTGGCGACTTAGGTTTCGTAGAAGCACTCGTATTCTGTGACTCTTGCCAGATTGCTACTATTCACCGGTGAGTCCTCTTCTTCATTTTCGCCATGGTTTATTGGATCGCATTTGCTTGTGTTTTCGAGTTGTGCATTGTGTGCTTAGTCCTCTTTTATACTGCAGCTATTGTTTGAACATAACACCGGTTCCTATTGATGACTACATAACTTGGTTCTGTGTGAGCTGTGATGGTAGTGACAGTAGCTCTGACGGAGAACAAGTTGATAAACCTGCTAAGCTTACACATATCTTGAAGAAAAAAGTGAGCATCATCAATCACACTCCACTGGGTTTAGTTGCTGTGGATACCACCAATGTTGAACCTGAGACTGGGTCTTCTTCACCTACTAAGGAAACAAGGAAGGAGTCTGAGAGACGAGAGATCTCATGTAGCGGAAACAATCACGAAATAACAAAGGGAGCTTCTGTCTTGGAATCCAGCAATAGTGTGCCAGATCATGTTTCTTCTTCTACCACCAAAAAGCGAAAATCAGGTTACGGCAACTGTGATGAAGAAGCCGACTCTTTCAAACCTACAACTCCTTCGGTAGCTTCAAATGATCTTCGCCCTAACATACCTCGCACTAGTGAGAATATGCAGTTAGATGTGGTGAAAAGTTCTTGCAATGAGGGTGAGTCAAATATGCTTCAAACGTTGGAGGGCTTTACAGCTAGGCAATTCAATCTCGCACTTGATCAATACAGAGCGCAACCAATCGTGACACCGATATGGAGGTATAAGAAAGAAAAAAACTTGCATTCTAGTTTATTGTTTTGCATCTCAACATGGGGTCGACTTGAATTCTGATCTGTTTCGTCAATCTATAGGGGATCGATATCTCTGAAAAAAGGAAACATTCGTAGCATTGGTGGGCTTGTTGCTCATTTATCAACCTTAGCCTGCCATAGAGTCCATGGCATTTCAAGTTCATTACACAGTCGCCTTTCTGCTGAAATGTTTCCAAGGATGGAAATATGGCCAAAAAGCTTTCTGAAGAATAGAGGACCCAAGGATGAAAGTATTGCACTTTATTTCTTCCCTTCTAGTGGAAGGTATATATGTGCTTAAAACAGTATCTTACTGATATCTATCTTGAAATGTGTCAAACCAGTTTTTGTTTTGGTTTCCAGTAATGAAAACGAATCAGAGTTTGAACAAGGGGAAGGAGTTGTGGACCCGCAACAGATAGATGATCAAAAGAGTTTCGATTCACTTGTTCTTGAAATGAAGAAGAATGATTTTGCCATGAGATGCATCCTTGACAATGCAGAACTTCTACTCTTCACCTCGTATATGTTACCAATGCGTTATTGGAGTAAGTCTGAGAGATATAATTAAACTGTATATTAACCACTAGAGTTTGTTCATTCACTATTCGGATAACTTGCTTAAGCTAAGAAACCTGAGTTTTTTTGGTTTGCAGGTTTGTGTTCAAAGGAGTACCTATGGGGCGTCTTTAGGTCCAAACAGACTTATCGACATTAGTCACTAGACTAACTACCTTTCACAGTTTCTGAATAGGAGCAACACAGATGAAAATCTTTAAGTAGATTCCATTTTTCTTAGCATATGTTAGTCCTGTTTCGGGTTTAACACATTGCTGGTTTTGACCGTTTGCGAGATCCTGTATAGAATCTACCCGAGAAGACATCCGGGATAGCATAATTCTGCCTTTAGAAGGTATTTTTGGTGATAACTTGGAGATCTTCCTTAATTCTACAACTTGATCTTGATACAAAATCTTCCTGATTCTAGTGAGAACAGATGTGTTCAATAATGGACACTCGTCGAGAATACTAATTGTTGAAGGAGTTACATATCACATTTATGATTTGTCAAAAAGGTAAGACAGATTCAGGACAAGAAAACACAAAGATTGTAGACGACATGTTGATAATCAGGATTTTTATTTGTCTATATATGATTTTTATGTATCGAATAAGTTTGGAGTTTTGATATCAAATCCAATCCAATGAATTAAATTCAAAACGACTTCGGAGAAATGAAACTAAAATAATTTCTATATTTCAATTGCACC